TACTTTTTTTTTTTTTTTTTTTTTACATGAATGGCACTATGGCGTGGGAAATTTTCACGCCGCAACATGAAGTTTCTGTCCTCATGGTACATTTTGAGCCATAGCGCGGAAAAGTTGAGCTGCGGCATGAAATTGTGTCTTTTTTTCGCGCCGCGGCATGAACTTTCTGTCTTCCCTTCCCTTTTTGCGCCATAATGTGGAAACATTGTGCCGCGGTGTTAACCATTCCTGTAAAATAAAACGAACGTCATATTTACTTAAATAGACTTATGAACATGGCTAACTCACACATAAACAAACTTAACACCATTAAACACTTATACATATAAAATTTAAAAGGAATGAAAAACTTGGGTTGCCTCCCAAGAAAAGCTTTATTTAACGTCTACGCAAGATGGAATGCACTGTCTTTCATCGAATGTCGTCAAGGTACTCCACCACTTGTTCCAACTGGAAATCTTCCAAGTATGGTTTCAAACGATGCCCATTTACTTTGAATTTACCTCCGGTCTTCAAATTTTGCACTTCCACCACACCATGAGGAAACACTTCAAGCACTTTGTATGGTCCAGTCTATCTTTATTTTAAATTTCCTGGAAAAAGAAGCAAACGTGAGTCATACAGCAAAACTTTCATACCTGGCCGAAATTCCTTGCGTTGTATTGCTTTATCATGATAGAGTTTTGTTCGTTCTTTCTAAATCTTTGCGTTTTCGTACTCTTCATTCCTAAGTTCTTCCAACTCATTCACTTGCATTTTCCTTACCTCGCCGACTTTGTCTATATCGAAGTTTAACCATTTGATTGCCCAGTAAGCTCGGTGTTCTAATTCCATTGGTAAATGGCATGGCTTTCCAAAAACTAGCCTATATGGACTCATTCCTCTCGGTGTTTTGAATGTCGTTCTGTAAGCCCATAAAACATCATTCAACTTTAATGCCAATCCTTCCTAGATGTGTTCATTATCCTTTCCAAAATTGCCTTGATTTGCCTATTACTTACCTCTACTTGCCTTGAAGTTTCTGGATGATATGGAGTGGCCACTTTATGAGTTACATTGTACTTCTTCAACAAATCTGCAAATGACTTATTACAAAAATGACTTCCCCCATCACTAACAATAGCTCCATGGGTACCATACCTTGTGAAAACTAAGTCTTTAAGAAAGCTTAATACAACTTTACTTTTGTTAGTTTTTGTGGCAATCGCCTTAATCCATTTTGACACATAATCTATAGCAACAAGTATATAAGCATACCCATGAGAGTTAGGAAATGGACCCATAAAATCTACACCCTAGACGTCGAACAACTCCACTACCATGAATGACGTGAGTGGCATCTTGTTCCTCTTTCCAATGCTTCCAGTTCGTTGACATCTATCACATCTGGCACAAAAAGTAAAAGCATCTTTAAACAAAGTTGGCCAATAAAAACCTGATTGCAATACCTTAAGTGTTGTTTTCCTTCCCCTGAAATGTCCTCCGCAATGTAATTCATGGCTATGTTGTAATATACTCTATTGCTCTTGCTTAGGCACGCACCTCCTTATTATCTGATTCGGACAACTATTAAACATGTAGGGATCATCCCAAAAATAGTGTTTCACCATGGATAAAAAATTCTTCTTTTAGTTAAAGGTTAGATCAGATTTTAAAATTCCACATGCAAGGTAATTGACAATATCTACATACCAAGGCTCTTTTCTGCGGATGGAAAAGAGTAGCTCATCTAGAAAGGTTTCATTCAGAGGATATTCCCCTTCTTGATTATGCTCGTCATGGCTTGTTGGCTCCACTAAACGAGACAAATGATCAGCCACAACATTCTCACTTCCCTTCTTATCCTTGATAATTAAATCAAATTCTTGTAGTAGCAACATCCATCAAATCAACCTAGGCTTAGCATCTTTTTTAGATATCAAATATCTCAAAACAGCATGGTCAGAATAAACAATTACCTTAGAACTTATTAAGTAAGAACGAAACTTTTCTAAAGCAAATACAACAGCCAAGAACTCTTTTTCAATAGTGGAGTAATTTATTGGAGCATCATTTAAAGTCTGACTTGCATAATGAATAACATGGTGAAATTTCCCGATACATTGTCCTAATACTGCTCTTAGGGCATAGTCAGACGCATCACACATCAATTCAAAAGGGAGAGACGAATCGGGTGACATAAGAATAGGGGTAGAGGTGAGTTTTTCTTTTAAAGTATTGAAAGCAATAAGGCACTCGTCACAAAATTTGAATGTTGTTTCCTTAGCTAATAGGTTACATAAATGCCTACTTATTTTTGAAAATTCCTTAATAAAACGCCAATAGAAACCTGCATGACCAAGAAAACTACACACACCTTTCACAAATGTAGGTGGCGGCAATTTAGCTATCACATCTATCTTTGCCTTATCTACTTCAATCCCTTTACTACAAACTACATGTCCTAAAACAATGCCTTGTTTAACCATGAAATGACTCTTCTCCAAACTCAAAGTCAAATTTGTCTCTACACATCTTTTCAACACTAAAGTTAATTTACTAAGGCAATCATCAAACGAAGTTCCAAAAACAGAAAAATCGTCCATAAATACCTTAATGAATTTTTCAATCATGTATGAAAAAATGGACATCATACATCTCTGGAATGTAGCGGGAGGCATTGCATAATCCAAAGGGCATCCTCCTATATGCGAAAGTTTCGAATAGACACGTAAATGTCGTCTTCTCTTGATCTTCGGGTGCGATCGGAATCCAGTTGTAACCTAAAAAGCAACCAAGAAAACAACAGTAAGCATGACCAGCCAATCGTTCAAGCATTTGATCAATAAAAGGAAGGGGAAAATGATCTTTCTTTGTCACAGAATTCAACTTCCTATAATCGATACAAACTCTCCAACCCGTTGTCATCCTAGTTGGTACTAACTCATTGTCAGAATTTCTCACCACTGTAATACTTGACTTCTTAGGTACTATATGGACTGGGCTCACCCATTTACTATTAGAAATTGGATAAATTATACCTACATCAAGGAGTTTCAAAATTTCAGCTCTCACCACTTCTTTCAAATTTGGATTTAGACGCCTTTGACTTTCCCTAGAACTTTTTGCTTCCTCCTCTAATAAAATCCTATGCATGCACATAGTGGGGCTAATTCCCTTAATATCAGCTATGGTCCATCCTATGGCTGTTTTATACTCTCTCAACACCCTAAGTAGTTTCTTCTCTTCCTCTAAAGTGAGATTTGACGTTATAATCATTGGAAGGGTTTGACTTTCTCTAAGTACACATATTTCAATGTAGGTGGTAATAGTTTGAGCTCTAACTTAGGTGGGGAGTTAGTGGACAAAACCATATTAACATCTACTTGTTCTATGGGCATCCTCAACTCTTCATCAGTTATCTCAACAACTTCACAATGCAGCAGTTCAACATACTCCTCAGCTTCTTGGTCAAGGAACTCTTCATCTTCTGCTATCAAGGCCAACTCTAATTTATCTTTTGTCTTCTTTTGCATAAAACAAGAGACAATGACAAGATCTAAGGACTCAACAAGAAAACAATCATTAGTATCTGCAGGAAGAGATAAAGATTTAAAAACAAAAAATTCCACAATTTAATATAAAACCGTCATTTTGAGTTTTCCATTCTGCACATCAATAACAGTCTTCGTGGTGGCCATGAAAGGATGTCCCAGCAAAATTGGCAATTCATTGTCTCGATTTGATGTCATCTCCATGTCTAAAATCACAAAATCAACATGGACAATTAGTTTATCAATTTGAACTAAAATATCCTCAACAATACCTCTTGGATACTTGACAGAACAATCTGCCAATTGTAGTGTCATTGTTGTAGGCTTCAGTTCTCCCGGTCCCAATTGTTGATAGATCGAAAATGGCATGAGGTTTATGCTTGCACCCAAGTCCAACATTGCTTTTTCCAACTTCTTATTACCAACCATGATATTGATAATAAAGCTTCCAGGATCCTTCATCTTAGGTGGTAATTTGCATTAAAGCACGATGCTTACTATCTCAGAGATCATTACTTTTTTGTTCGGCTCATATCTATGCTTCCATGTATTCAAGTCTTTGAAGAACTTTGCATAGGCGTGCATGTTCCTACTCACATTAAGCAAAGGCAAGTTAACATTCACTTTGGACAAAATATCAAAAATGTTAGAGAATGACTTATCCCATTTGCTTTTATTTAATTGACTTAGAAATGGCACTGGTGGAACATTAGGTTTGGGTGGAGCAACAGTAGAGCCAATGTCTTTAGTTTGAACGGGTGCACTTGGTTGCTTCTCCTTGGCTTTATCATTCCTTGCATTATCAACCAATTTCTCGTTAGTTTCAGAGTTAATATCTTTAGTGATTACCTTACCACTTCTCAAAGTTGTTATTACTTTTGCTTGCTCAGGTTTGCTCGATAACTTCTCGGGAACATTTTCTTGAACCGCTTCTACTATTTGTCCTATTTGAACTTCCATCTTCCTTATGGATGCCTTTTGTTGCTAAAATCTCTACTCAAAACTCTAGTTGTTCTTCTAAGAGACTTGAATAAAGTTGTTCAATGTCTCCTTTAATGAATATTTCCTCTGTTGATTGTGAGAGCTAGCTTGTTATTGGTTATTGCTCCAAGAGAAGATATGATGATTCCTCTAACCTGGATTGTAAGTATTGGAGAATGGGTTGTTAGGCCATTAGTTGTAGGAATTCATTGCACTTGCTTGCTCTACATACTCTGGAAAATTCTCACTAGAAGGACAAATGTTAGTTGTATGCCCACTATTACCACAAATAGCACATACCTCTGAAGAGTTACTTTGCCCTTGTCCCATCAGCATATTGCACATAGTCTTCATTTGTTTAGTTAGCTCTGAAACCTGCATTGTTGGCTCAGAGTTATTATTCACTTCATAAATTCCCTTGGATCTTCCTCTAACACTATTCTGCTATGAGTTTGCTCTAAGCATCTCATATAGCTCGTATGTCTCTCATGCAGTCTTCTCTCCCATAGCACCACCTACAACATCATCAACTATGGCTTGGCAAGCCTGTGTCAGTCCATCATAGAAAAATTGGTTAAGCAATTCTAAAGGATATCTATGATGTGGACATTGAACCAACAATAATTTAAAATGCTCCTAAGCCTTATGGAACGGCTCACCTTCTATCTAAGTAAAGGTGGCAATCTTACCTCGCAGTTCGACAGTCTTAGCATGAGAGTAGAATTTACCTATAAATCTGTTGTAAACTGCGTCCCACATTGTAAGTAAAGCTGGGGTCAAAGTCATGAACCATCTCTTTGTTGCATCCTTCAATATGTAAGGAAAGCAACGCATCTGCAACTGGTCCTCTATCAAACTCTACAAAGGAAAAGTTTGAACAGTAGAATAAAAATCATGAATAAAGGTAAGTGTATCCTTTATAGGTCGAGGTAATTCTGCCATTATCTCTGGCTCTGAACTTGAATCTGACAACTCTAAATCTGATCAATTTTCAAGACATTCTAGTTCCTTCCTCTTTCTACCAATCAAATCCACTCTATCGATGTAAGGAACTAATTCTTTATCCAGTGATCGGCGACCTTGCATTCAAAAACTAACACACCAAAGAATAAAAAGAAAAAGAAGTAACCCAAATAAAAATAATAAAAATTAAATAATACAAAAAAAAATAATATCAACAATTAAAGCACACGTTGTCAAGAAAATTAAATAACTTAAACAAATCACTGACAGCGGCGCCAAAAACTTGATGAACAAATTCTAATTCCTCGCAAGTGCATGAATCGCTATCGCAGTATAGTGTGCAAAAGCAAGGGTCGATCTCACAGAGATTTGTAAGCAATTTACTAATCCTAATAACGAAGCTTCAATTTAAACTAATAACTAGAATTGATAATCGCAATTTAGGGGGAATCACTTCAAAAGCAACAACTAATTAAACTAAAGTTAAACGACAATAAAGTTATCTTAAATCCAATCGACCAAAACCTAGGGTTCCAATTTCACCATAATTATCCAGCTCTATGTCAACCAAATATCCATTATTTATCAATTCACTTTCTAGGGTTCGCACTCACCAAATCAAGGTATTACCGTAAGGCTTTCGGGATTAACCTAATATTTTTAACACAAGACTAGCTAGGGCGTATAGTCTAGCCTATGAATTAAAAACCCAATAAACGTAAGAGTACTCAAAATCCTGAACAAAGGCATATTTGTCATGGCATGTGCACAAACACTAATTACCCAAGAAATCATAAACCTACTAATACTCTATCAGGGCGTATGCATAGAATATTAATCATTCATTTAATAATCTTCACACATACAACCTAATAATTTGCACTAAGTGTCATCACACAATAATGAAAATTAAAGGAGTAATAAATACTTGAATGAATCTAGAGTTTCATTGAATTAATAACAATAAATATATGATTACACATAGAGCCATCAAATTAGGCTACATTGGATCCCTAGAGAAGAGTTTAGTTACACATTGACATTGAAAAGAGCAAACTTGAAATTCCCCAAAAGCATGAATGATCTTCAAAACCCTAGGAAAAATCTCCTCTCTTTTTGCTAAGAAAATAACTCTCCTCTCAATCTCCACCCCACTCTAAACTAAATTACAAAGTCCTATTTATACTTTTCCTCTGCTAGGGGTGTTTTTGGAAGAGTCCAAGTTCAAGTCAGAGTTAAAAAAAAAATAAGGATTTTATTTTTTTGCGATCCATATTGCGGCGTGAATTTTTGGGGCCACGGCGCACAGTTTTTCCACAAACATACAGTTTTGTCACGCCGCGGCATGAACTTTTTGCCCAACTTCAGCTTCTCGCGTCGCAGTGCAAAAAGTCTATACCGCAGCGCCATCTAGCAAATTCACTTCCTTTCTTTTGTTTGACAATCCATTTTTTTTTTCTTTAGTGCGTACAAAGCATCCAACCATCGTGTGAGCATAAATTCCTCACTTTTTCTGTCCGAATACCTAAAACTCATAGACATACCCGTGATTCTTGCAAATAAAAATATGCAAAGAACTTGAATAAAAATAATCCATAAAAGTCACGAATTCCCTACGATCAACCTATAAAATCATGGAATATACATATCATTTCACCACTCATCAAGTTATCCAAATTAAACATATAATATATAAAATTAAAGCACTGTCTGTTTAGTTTCTAAAGATTCAATCCTCCCATCAATTGGATTTTTATTGAGCAAGTTATGATCAATTTACTACTGATTGTTCAATAGAAACCGAAATACGTGTGATGATAAAATGAATGGTTTACTTGATCCAAATTTAAGGGATAATCATATTAGGACTGATAAGAAATATTTCAAATAACACTTATTAATTGGAAAATGGAATCAGCCAAAATTAATTCATTTAGCATATATACTCGCACATCAGCAGGAAATAAACAATTAATCATTCATATAACAGATTAAAATACACGAATGTTTTTACAGAAAACATATTCAACTCAAATGAACTGTTTCTACAAATATAGATATGACACATACTCACAGTTCAGCTGACAATAGGATCATCCTCGATTTGATCTTAGTAAAGTACATGAACAGTTCCTTGAAAACAAACATAACAAAATTTAATCGATCTTTATGTTAAGATTGTTAAGGAACAATTATTTATTCGTATAACTACTGTTACCTGAAAACGAAATTAACAAAAGTTAATTAATCTTCATATTAAAATTGTTAAGGAATACACTTACTATTTGACACAAGCAACACCATTAATCATTCAAATAGATTGACTGAACAAAAACAATCATTCAACCAAATAATAACCGTTAAAATAGTTAGGAGATATACTTACAACTTTGTATTAAAATAGTTAGAAGATATACTTATAGTTTAGAAGAACGAATCAAAATAACAACTCATTTGACAATTTCAATTAGACATCCTTCTTTTATTCCATGCCAATTCATGAATTTTTGACCTGTAAACAACAACAAAAACATAAATAAATAAAAAATTATCGATTAACAAAATCATGAAGAACAGACGTATTATTGACACAAACTAACATGACATATAAACAATCAACAAAAGACTAGACGTATTGTTGATACCAACTAACATATTGCGATAATACACAACTGAACATACACTCATTTTATAACCTCTTATTTAGGCCTTTCGAATGCCAACACAATTAATTACGAAGAAAAAGTTTGCAATGTCAATACAATGCACATATATAATTATTAATAAACAGGTATGCTTGTACTATCAATGCAATGCACCTATGTAATCCAATCTTTATGTCTATTTATTTAGACTTTAGAATACTAATGCAACAATTAATATTATCTACATCATCACCAATAAAATTCAATCACAAATCCAATTAGTCATTAGACCTTTAGAATGCCAATGCAATACACCTATATAATTAGTATTATTATTAATTATTAATACAACTAATGAAATGCACTTATGTAATCCAATCTTTATGTCGATTTATTTAGACTTTGAAATACCAATGCAACAATTAATATTATCTACATCATCACTATTAAAATTCAACCACATAGCAATCACAAATCCAATATGTCATTATGATTAGACCTTTAGAATGCTAATGTCATACAGCTATATTATTATTATTATTATTATTAATACAGATCCTATTTTTTAATTAATTAATAATTATAGATGAAACAATAAATATCAACCCAACGTGTTAAGATAAAATAATTTAATTGGTTTGTCAATTTAATGTATCAAAATAGAGCAATTATAAAGCTTTCAAAATGTGTCACGTGGCAATCAATCGCAGATGAGAATTTAGCTTTATATTATATATNTATGTAATCCAATCTTTATGTCTATTTATTTAGACTTTGAAATACCAATACAACAATCAATATTATCTACATTATCACTGTTAAAATTCAACCACATGACAATCATAAATTCAATGTGTCATTATAGTTAGACCTTTAGAATGATAATATCATACACCTGTATTATTATTATTATTACAGATAACATTTTTTAATTAATTAATAATTACAGATGAAACAATAAATATCACCCCAACATGTCAAGATAAAATAATTTAATTGATTTGTCAATCTAATGTGTCAAAATGGCGTAATTTTAGAGCTTCTAAAATGTGTCACGTGACGACTAACGACATATTATATATATATAACATTATTTATTAATTTTTTAACTGTTATGAATCTGAAACAAAAATAACTATACATATAAACTGCAAAATATAAGCCAATATTACAATACCAAAAGCTCTTCTTTCTCTAGATAAGCTCTAGTGGACTTTCTCTTCCTTTTCTTCACAACCCCTTCTTCATCATGTTCGTTCTTCCGAATTCTACACACAACAAATTCATCATGCCCTAACAATAAATACTCATGCATTATCCAACCCCCATTGTGTTCCGAACCTTTATTCTCGTATCTAAACCTCTTCTTTAACCTAATTTTCAAGTGGGTTTTTTCAACTTTAATTTCTTTTGCCCCATCTTCACCCTGCCATGTTCCAGAACCCACTCCTCTGCAAATCCTTGAGCCCTTGTTGGATTTTTTCTTCAATAGAGTGAAAAAGTAGAGATCTTGATTGGCCAATTTGGGTCCTTCATACATTTCCCAAATTTGCCAGGGTTCTTGTCTACCATAGAGGTCACATTCTGGGATGGTATCACGGGAAAAAGGTAAATTTTGTACCTTGTTGTAGAGATAAAACCCAATCAGTTCAGCATCAGAAGGAACGAATTTATAGCCAGCAGGAAGAGTTGCCGACATCGTGAATCTGTGATTATTGCAGATGATGTAAATGAAGTGCAATTAGCAAAAAGGTCAGAGAAAATGTTGGAGAGATTAAGAGAAATTAAGAGATTGGAGCGAAATTGGAAATAAGAGAATGACGGGACAGAGACAGACTTTGCTATATACAATACTACTTTGAGTCGGTTACTAAAAGAGCCGTTGGATGAATTTTCTTTTTATTTATTTAATTTTTCGGATTTATTTTTGAATTTTAGTGCCAAAAATATGAGGGCATTTTGGGTATAGCTCCAACAAGGGCCAGTCAGTTGGAATGTATTAAATTTGAATTTTAAATTTTACTGTAATTGTTGGCAGTTATATTTGAATTTTAAATCCACATACTGTATAATTTACCCCAAAAAGCATGAGGGTATGTTGGGTATTTTTTATTTTTTGAAACGGCTATGTAAAATTTTTTTAGAAGAATTGTTGTTCCATTCTTGTGTAATTAGTGGTTAGAAGGCTTTTAAGCTCTGGGCTTCGGTTTTTCTTTTTGTTTTAATTTGATGTGATATTAATTTTAAAGCTTGTTCATTTGGTTTAAATTCCAATGAAATTTCTTTGAGTGGGATTTGGATATTGTTACATTGTATTTGCAGGCAAAGGCAACAGCGAATCCTTTTGCATCTAGAATGATGGTAATTTTAATGAGTGATTTGGTTCACAGTTGCTTCTATTAGTTGCATTAAATTGTTTAAGGGGAAAAATGTTTTTACGGTTTCTGTAGTGATTAATTTAGTTTCTTTTGCACAGGTATGCGGTATATCTTTTGTAGAAGATTTTTAATTTCAGGATATTTCTGCAATGTTCAGAAACTTTTTATACAAGTATTTTATCTAGTATTGTATCTGGTATTGTATTTTGAAAGCAAAAATTATAGTGGAGAGGCATGGTGTTCTAGTATTTTGGTTTCCTCATAGATTGAATTTTCTTTTTCTGGGTTTTAGGTAGGTAAAGCAGAAGACAATTTTCTGAAAATAATGTTGGATAGTCTCTAATTAAGTTTCTAAATTTGAAAGAAGAGGGTGAGAAAAATGATAATTATGTTTCTTACCATATTTTCTGTTGCAGAATGGCTTTTTCTAAGTTGTGTTGTAGGTTTTAGCAGAGTACTTTTGCATACTTTGACCTTGCTGCTGGAGTTCATGTGACAGGTGCATATTCTGTGCTCCAATTTTTCATGACAACTAAATATCAAGATACTACTGTATCGTTACCGCTTTGCTTTGCGAGATTATATCAATTTGTTCTTAATCGTTAATGTTTTCTTATAATATCTATCACACACTCGCTACTAGGTGAGCAATCAATAAACCAGAGATTCCCTGCACCATGTAACAAGACTCATTGCTAACACAGATACACAATATCCACACCCTTACTGTCTCAGTCTGCAACTCAGCTCCCACTAGCTCAATCAAAATATTTGCAGTCAAGAATGTTCTTCCAAGTTTTAACTAGCCACCAAAACTTAGTGATAGGGATATACCAAGCACACAAACATATGTGGGTAAATGATCATTTTTAAAATTACAATTTTTAAATAGATTTCAAAGATCCTTTCTGAAAATTTACATAATACAGTGCCCAATGTTTAAAGATGAGGAATATTACATTTTACTAAAAATTATTGCGCCTAGCTAATAATCATGTTGAAACAATCGAAAAATCATCGGTAATAGAACTTATCACATAATTATAGCTTCAGGATTTACATTTTTAGCAGATTATATTGGTTCATACATCTTTAACTGAAACTAAAAAGTCATACATACCTGCTCATTCTGATTGGAACTAAGAATCTTCTACTTACATGGTTGAAGACTTCACTTCAGTTGGTGTTTCTTGACAGAATTATCATCCCACAAACTCAGACAGCTTAAATTATCAAGAGACAATTAGGAAACTTCCAACGGCAAGGTAGTGTTGTCTATTAGAATGCATAATCTGGATTATATATTAGACTGTCATTACTCTAAAGACAGGATTTTGATGGACCATTACTTTTCATTTGTTGCCTATTCCTATTTGTACAAAGTCAACTGTTGCTTTAAGCAGATATACAAATTGGATGTGCTATGGACCTAACAATTACATTCACCACTCAGCATCCTCCACATTTGAAAAAAAGAAACAATACATATGAAGCTATGAAAATGCTGCCATAAGAGATGGAGAGCTCTATATCACTTACTAACTTGGCTTTTGTTTCAAAAGCTGAAGTTTGCTGTGCAGAACTTTTCATAGAAAAATGGTATGAGGTCTTCCTTTGTCTGATTAAGGTAGATTGTAATTTAATATTGTGACTGGAGAAGCTTTGTGTGAGAACTTAATTCATAGGGTTTGTCAGGTTGGTTAACTTTGGTTGCAGCTGATTACAAAAATTTTCTTGGACATATGTTATGTCATGTTTGATATTTATCGAATGTTAACTTGAAAATGGTTCTAAAAGATTCTTTGTTGTTTAGGTTCTTTATACACAAGCCTGATTAATCTGCAGTACTGCATTATGAGCCTTTCAAACATCAAGGAAAAATATTATGTTGACTTACCAAATTTATGTTTTATTTAACTTAAACCTCGTAATGGTCAATTAATATGGTTTTCAGTATTCTAAATAGATATTACCTGTCTTGCAATTTTTAAAAGCAGAGTTTCGTGATGATTATTCTAATAGCTCTCTTTGAGTGTCTATCTTCTGGTATAACAGGACTAATTCACCCAAACAAAATTCTCCGCCAGTGTATATGTTATTCTAGATTGTTTAGTAAATGGGAAGATAGTTTCCTTCTTGGCTTATTGCTAATTATTTTTAATTATGTCTTCAGGGCGTTTGCGCTTGTGTCCTTGTGTTTCGTGTTTATATACTTCCCTGCTTCTTGCAATTTGGAATCTGCAGTTGACTCATGTGTAGAGATCCTATTTTGTGGATACTGCAGGTTCTAATGTATCCGCTAAAATCTGATAATTGGTGTTTGACTGATTTAACATCATTATCATTTGGAAATTGCTTCTTCTTACAGATTAATTGAAGCCTCTATATATGATTCATTTCATAGCTCCTATTTCCAGTCTGTTTCTAATCTCGTTGCTGGTGGTTCTGCTGGATTTCCTGGCTTCGTGACTTTAGCCTGCTCAATTGAAAAATGTCTTTCTGTGGTTCTTCTACTGCTACTACATCAGATCATTTCTGGGTTTCTTTATAACATGCAGGTTTTGAATTGGCTTGTTTGTCGAGATTCTCTTGTTATTCAGGGAGTACCAATGATTTGGAGGTTGCTACAATACTCAAGATACTGCAGTCTCTTTCAGGTTGGCTAGCTTCCTCTGCAGTATCTAATCAATTTCAGGAGATTTGCACAAGTTCTGTAACTGTATTGACTGTGGAGCTTAAATGTACAACGAATTGTCAATCTTATGATCTTTATCTTATTTTCATAAAATGCAAATCCCTGGGAACATAGTGGTAAGCATTTCTTTTAGTTGCTCTACTTAATGATTTGGAAGTGGAATAATCTTATTGTCAGCTATATGCACTAAACCACTCATACCTATTAAAGTAAAAAAATACATATATAATCTTTTGTCCCTTTTCTCTTGTCCAGACTCTCTCTCTCTCCTTTCTCTTCTTCTGTTTAAATATGCTGTCAATTTCTGTAGTCTTACAATTTTCTGTGTTCCAAATTTCTCTCACTCATGGTTTATTGGGAATTTGTGAATGGATAGGATGAAGGCAGAATAGGCAAGAAAAGAAAGGGAGTACTTGTTACTGAATGTGGCAAGTTTCTCCCCTGCACGTTATTACATGTTATAGTTAATCACACTGAATCTGGGTTTTGATGTTTGTGCTAAACTACTAGAAGTTGAAAATATGATTGCTAATTTTTCTTAGAACACTGTAGGTTGGAGCGTTGTATGCAAATTTTTCGTTAAACTGCAATATTTTGTTAAACCAGTAATTTTATTTTGAGTATAACACCCTTTTTCTTTTCTTGAAGACATAAAACTTCTAATTTCTTTGTTTTGAGCAGAGTCATTGGACTGAAAGACAAATATTAGAGCTATGGATCTCTCTCCTTTTAAGTGAGACATTGATAAGTTTATAGATGAGGTGTTTTATTTTTATTTAAGTTTATCTATTTTCTTCACTTTTTATACTATTTTTTTTGTTTATTTTATAACTCGTGGAGTTTGGGTGATTTACAGGGTGAATTGACTACTCTGGCTGATAAAAGTATGGGTCTCCATAAGTTCAGCTACATTTATGAAGCTAAGCTTTCCGCCAACTTGTCCGTTATGCAATCGCTGTATGCCCATATTTTGTAAGCTTTGAGAATTGAGATATTTGTTCCGTTTTGTTAATGCTTATATGTCAACGCTAGAATCTTGAAGTTCTGTCTACTCTGCTACGCTTAGTTTCATAATTCAATGAAAGGCAGGTCAGATGGTCGGTACTGCTAGCTTCTTTATCGCAAAGATTAGGTGGACGCTATTGCCTTTACTGACTCTGTGTTTCAGCAATTTAAATCTTCTTTCAAGATCTTTTTTTCCCTGTATGTTTCCACTTGAAACTACTACTTATTTGTAATTTTGGTCATTGATGCCAGATGATCATGAGTGGTAATAAGGACCGCAATATATGATGACAAGTATCAGTTCCTATGATTTTTCTTCTGCTTTTGACTAACAGATCATTGCTAGCCCTATAATCATGACTTTCTCCACATAGACTTGATTAAGTTAAATAGTTTTATTATTCATAGCAAACTTTGAGAGTCATTAAGCTTATCTCTCTTTTTGTGTTGTCTCTTGAATCAGGGTATGGCAACTGATCGGATGTGCTAGCTGAAGAAAGTGCATCGACAGGTTTTTTTCTTTTTTTTAAGTTGTTGTTAGCAGTTTCAAAGGATTAAACAAAGAAGAAGTGCAAATATTTTCTGATAAAGCCCTCTTTCAAGCTGTCAAGTGGTACTTCT